TGAAGGATTCTCAGGGCACCTGCATGGCTCAGTTGGTTAAGTGTCTGCCTTCGGCTCAAGTCATGATCCCAGGGTCCTGGGGTTGAACCCCACATCGGGCTCCCTGCTCAGCGGGGAGCCTGCTTCTCCCTCTCCCCCATGCTTGTGCTCTTTCGCTATCTCTCTCTCTGAAATAAATAAAATCTTTTTTAGAAACCTAAATAAAAATAAACAAAAACTGAAGAATTCTCATAAGTTATATAGTAAGTATATAATATATAGAAATATATCGATATATATGCGTATATGTAATTCTATCTCTTTTCCAGTGATAGCTATTTTTATGACTTAGAATGCCATTTCACTAAATTGAATATGTTTTTAACTGAGTAGAGTCATCCAATCAGCTGAGCATTCTCCTGCACAGGTTCAAAGAAAAAACATCAACAACCCTTTGGTTTTTTTCCGGGCTGAAGCGAATTGGCTGAAGTGGTCAGTTCTGCGGGACAGGGTGGTTCCTAAAGTTACAGCCCAGGAGTCTAAAGTTTCTCTGGCATCCAGGTTAATGTCATGCCTACTGTTGTACCCAGTCTTTAATAATTCTAGCATGTGCTTCTCACTTACTTATCCTGATATTTCACCACATTACCCAGCTGTAAGTTGGGGACCAAGTGCCTTGTGAGCTGTTGGCAAAGAGTCAATTAGCTGAGCACAGGCAGCATATAAATATGTCAGAAGAGATAATGGATGCCTCCCCAGCAAGGAAAATCAGAAGCTGTCCTTGAGCCCCACAAGTGAAAGGAATGGAAAGCAGGACAGACTGCTCTGAGCTGGGAAGCAGAGATGGTCTAGCTGTAGCGAGGAGTGGTGGGTAACAATCCTAGAGGTAGCTTAGTGGCTCTCTACTCTACAGAATCCTAGTACATAAATCTAAGCAACTTACCAGCTAGAGATGCTTGGGAAGGCAAAGGAATAAAAGTCACGATACTTTTACTGCAACCTGGGTAAAATTTTGAGGACTGACCAAAGAAGACTCTCTGCCATCTGCTATAATAAAATGATTATGTGTGTAAATCTCATACTGGCATCTGCTATAATAAAATGATTATGTGTGTAAATCTCATACTCTGTTTGTCAGGTTGTGGAATGTGTGTGTTGGGTTTTATGAAATTGGGTGGACTTTAAGACTGAATAAATTAAATATCTGGTACATGCAGATTTTAGAACTAATTTATTTGTAACAAATCACACTGTCGATGCCTCGATCAAGAACAAGGGGGAAATGTCCAAAAGGCTGTAACGTAAACACGTAAAGCATGTGCAAGGCATAGTAAGCTTTAAGGGAGTTGGACATTTCAGTTGATAAGACAGGAATGATGACAGAAGCCAAATCAACTTAAGGCAAAAAGTTCAAGTACCAATTAAGATAGGCCCTAATAGAAACTATTTGTCAGCTATTAAGTGTCTCTGCAGACATGGAAAGTCGATTTGCTACAGAGATTTGTTCATGGTTTTAACTATATTTAAGTAAGAATTCTAAATATTTTCAGATTTCAGCTCAACAGAACTGTTAGTGGTTAGGAGAAAAAATTGCTATCGTTTAATTTAATAGATTGTCTAGGCCTTTGATTTTTTTTATTTCTACAGCTTTTGTTTTCTTTCTGCTTTAAGATTCAGTTACTTTATCTATAGTAATTATTTTGTGTGGGAAATTCTAAATGCAGTCTTTCTTAATTATTTACCCTAATGAATGGAAGCAATGTCGTCAATAACTGGACACCCAGTAACTGGATAAAAATGGTCTAAAAATATTTTATTTTTGATTCATACTGTGTTACACTTAGAAAATTTGCTTGATTTTTTGTACACATATATTGCATATCTAGAACAAAAGTTTTGTTTGCATACTGTATTTTGTCTCCATCTCTCTTTCTCTCTCTCCATACATATACATATATTTAGTTGGCCATGACAATTGTTAAAAAAGTGTTGATCCTGACAGTTAAGCCCTAGACTCGAACCAGATATCCCAACTTTTAGTACAATTCCTTGCCTTGCCACACACATGGTCTTGATGAAGGCATTTACTTCACTGAGTCTCAGTTTCCCCATTTACAGAAATCAAGTGAAAAATGTATCTTATTGATCTTGCCATGGGGAGCAAATGAAATAAGGTATGTTACTCTACTTCGATAAATATATGAATTAAAACTCAATAGGCTATAGACAGATATATGAATTAAAACTCAACGGACTCCATTTTAAATAAAATCATAAAACAGAACAGAAAAGAAAATAGAGTTTGTTTGAAGGGAGTAAGATGTATCTAATCTCCTTTTTCCTTGTTTCATGGAATTCTTTTTATTTCTTGGTCAGGAAAATAGAAAAAATAATACTGTCTATAAGCTTAAAGACATTTGACAGAAACCCTTTGACTTCTTATGAACAAGTATAAATACAGAGTGGATTCAAGAGAAAAGAAATATAAATAAAATTTGCTGAGCATCTTTATCTGTCGTAGTCACAGTGCTTGGCATTCACATACGTCATCTTACTTAGTCCTCTCTACCTTGTGACCAGCCTCCAAGGAGCAGTAGAACATGGGTGGATGAAAGTACATGCTCTGGAACTTGAATAACTGGTTTAAATTCCAGCTTCTTCACTGTCAAGCTCCGTGACCTCAAATAAGTCATTTAACCCCAGTGTGCCTTCGTTTTCTCACCTGAGGCACACTGAGGGTATAAATAAAATAGATTATACCTTTACGCAGGGTTATCTTGAAGATTAAGTGAAGAAATACCTGTAACACCCCTTAGAATACTTCTTGGCACATGGTTAGCAGTCAATAAATAATATTTGCTGACATTTTTGTAGAGCAGTTATCAAATGTTAACTCAGAAAACAGCATCTCATTAAGACATTTGCCCAAGTTTCCATAGAAATTGAAAAATGGAGCATTGATTCAGGTCTCTCTGAATAACACTCACTGACCGGCCTTTATGGCTCCAACACTTGATTCTTTAAACACCTCCATCCTGACCTGTGTGAACTTGGACTTTACTGAAGGTGTAGGTGAAGGAGCAGGTTTATATCACAGCATTGGAACCAACTAAGAATGCAGTGTTTGATATTTCTGTGCTAAAAATTACTTCAGCCTCCCCACCACTGGAAACTTCTCACCAGACATGACTTTATGCAATCCTGGCCTTCCGCCATATTCTCTAATATTTCTTGTTTTCTCTCTCTCTCCTCTAGTCTCACTGTGCCTCCTGTCTTCTCTGATATCCCTCACCTTTACCTTCCTGATCATTTCTTATGTGGAGTGGTTTTGCTTCTACCTTATTTACCTATCCTTTTTCAGGCCTATTTTCAGGACTTTATCTGCCATTTTGAAATAGTTATCTAAATCTTTATTTATATAAAAAAAAAAAACAGTTTCTCAGAGAAACTTTGATACCAACTGTTGGATATCTTCCCAGCTATTCATCTGAGCATTTTGCTTCCCTTCTTTAAAAACCTGGAATATTTTTGTTACATCCAGAATAAAATTTTAGGTCCTTCGCAGAATATTAAAGACCCTTGGTAATCTGCACCTTAGCTATTTTTCTACTATGACCTTCATTAACGTTAAAAATAAAAGTGAAAAATAAAGAAAAGTCAAGACAAAATTTTTAAAAACAACCCATAGTATCCACTACCCAAAGATAAACCATGTTACTCTTTCAGTGTCTAGCCTTAGAATTACATCTTATGTATATAGATACATGTAATTTTATTTTATAAAAATTTAAACTTCATATACTTTCTTATAACCTATTCTTAAGAAATGAACAATAAATTATTTTCTAATGTCAATAAATCTTCATCTATAATATTCTTAAGGGCTGAAAAGAATGTTGATAGAGACTCCCAACATTAATTTTACTAATCTATATAAGTAAATAAGTTTTTCCCAAGTTTTTGATACTATAAGCAAGAATGTTATATATATTCTTTTTTTTTTTTTAAAGATTTTATTTATTTATTTGACAGAGAGAGACACAGCGAGAGAGGGAACATAAGGAGGGGGAGTGGGGGAGGGAGAAGCAGGCTTCCCGCCGAGCAGGGAGCCCGATGTGGGACTCGATCCCAGGATCCTGGGATCATGACCTGAGCCGAAGGCAGACGCTTAACGACTGAGCCACCCAGGCGCCCAAGAATGTTATATATATTCTTAGAGCCAAATCATTGCATATCTCTTTGTAGTTTTTAGTATGAATTTACAAATGTGGAGTTGGTAGGTCAGGATATAGCTGTAAAAACTGTTGTATTTTCTCTTCCTATTATCTTTTTTTTTTTTTAAACATATAATGTATTATTTGTTTCAGAGGTACAGGTCTGTGATTCATCAGTCTTACACAATTCACAGCGCTCATCATAGCACATACCTTCCCCAATGTCCATCACCCAGCCACCCCATCCCTCCCACCCCCCACCACTCCAGCAACCCTCAGTTTGTTTCCTGAGATTAAGAGTCTCTTATGGTTTGTCTCCCTCGGAAAAAGGAAGGGGGGGAAATCGGAGGGGAAGAACGAACCATGAGAGACTATGGACTCTGAGAAACAAACTGGGGGAGAGGGGATGGGTTAGCCTGGTGATGGGTATTAAAGAGGGCACGTATTGAATGGAGCACTGGGTGTTATACGCAAACAATGAATCACAGAACACTACATCAAAAACTAATGATGTAATGTATGGTGACTAACATAACATAATAAAATAAAATTAAAAAACAAAACAAAACAACAACACTGTGTTGCACTTAGTCCTTGTAGGGTATATAGGGTAGGGCTGTATGTTATCAAATTGTAAATATTTGTCACATTTTTGGTGAAAATTCTATCTCATGGCTATACCCAATGTTGCATAACTTTTTCCTAGTGCTTAGCACATTTAGGTATTTATTCATATATATTTCAATATTCCATTTTAAGCTGAGGAAAAATGTTCTTTTATATAGCACTTAAGAAATCCAGTGATCAGTGTTTGCTTCAGCAACACATATACTAAAATTTAAACTGCAGAGATTAGCATGGCCCCCTGCACAAGGATGACACACAAATTTGTGAAGTGTCCCACAGAAAGAAAGAAAGAAAGAAAGAAAGAAAGAAAGAAAGAAAGAAAGAAAAGAAAGAAAAAGAAAGAAAGAAAGAAAGAAAGAAAGAAAAAGAACGGAGGGAGGGAAGGAAGGAAGGAAAGAAGAAATCCAATTATCATGTTCTTGAGAGAATAATTTATAGTTGACCACAACTAAATACAGATATCAGAAAATAAAAACCACTTTTGTGTAAAAGTCTGTCTTTGTGAGTCTCAAAAATAATTAGATTTTGATATGTATATTTATGTTTAATAATAAGTTAAAAATAGAATTTTTTAATGTTTTACTTTGTCTTCATGCTGAAAATAATTTTAGAAAGATTAGGTAAAGAAATACTGAGAAACAGTATTCTCATTAGCAGTCATAATCAAAAGGTCTTGGTCACTGATGTTAATTACAGATTAAGAGTTGGTGATGGTCACACAATCATTAGGTGCTGATCCATTCAGTGGCTGGAGTTATAACTTGGAAATAATATTCTGTGGATCCTTAGAGAGCCAGTATTTTATCAGATAGAAGTATATTATATGGCTAGGTAGAAGACTTTGGACCTTGCAAATGATCTCATCCTGACCTCCCTGGGATGCCTAGAGTACTGGGACTAGTTGGTAAGACTAGGTGATCCACAGCCCATGGTGGTCTGTTTGCCCTCCAGGGTGGAAGCTCTGAAATAGTGTATCTGTCTGAGAGAGTTGGTATGTTAGAAGTTGTGATTGTGACCACTGTTAGGAAGGTCTGGAGCAATCAGTTGTGTTTAGAGTGTGTGTTTAGAGTAGTCACTGTATTGGTTGGTGTTCAGACCCATCCTCCTGAGCATCAGTGTCCAGAGTAACCTGTGTGTTATTGTGGCCAATGCATCAGTCTCAGTTAATGTGCACGAGTGCTCAGTATATCCCAGCCATCAAGTTGGGAGAACTCTCCGAAAAGTCTTTTCTTTATTCCCAAACCACCTTCTAAATTTATATGAAAACTAATTTCCAGTTAGGAATGCAGCTATTATCCAGGGGAGGATACTAGAAGTGGGCTCATATCCCCTTTCCTGTTTTTAGTATAGGGTTAGGAAGTGGGGTTCCACCCAGAACTCATACTAGGCTAAGTAAGAGTCCTGAAAATGGCATGAATGCATACTATGTCCTAAGCACTTGCTAGGTACTAGGGATTTCAAGGGAACCAGATAGAAATGGGGTCTGTGCATTCAAGGACATGACACTCTTCCTTCTTTCTAAAACACTCCTTTCTCCCTCACCTAATAAACTTGTTTACAAATGACTCTTTACCCGTATTTACTCCCCCACAAAAATGAAAGCTTGGTGAAGGCAGAATTCATCTGCTGAATTCCCAGGCCATGCCAAAGAGCTTGGCATAGAGTATGTGTTCAGTATATTTCAGTTGACTGTGTTGTACTCTAGATAGTCATAAATATGAAGGTTGGCTGGGTTAGAGTAGGAGCCACTTGAGGGGGCACTCATTGTACCTTGTTCAGCTTTATATCTCTGAAATCTAGCAATCTCTGGCACATAGTAAATATGCAGTATTTTTTAACAGAGTTGAATTAAGTTTAATCAGATCAAGTTATTGTTCAGAATACATTGACTCAGATATACCAGTAACTTGAAATCAAGTTTCATAAAAAATTATTGCAAGAATTGGAAATGTTTCATATGGAAAAGACAAGACTTGGGAAGGACATGTGCTTGTCTTCAAATATAGGAGAGACTGATAAAGAAGAGAGACACTGGGCTTGTTGTGTCTATCCCAAAATAAAATAGATTGTAGCACTGAATTAGGGAGAGCTATCAGATTTAGTACATTGCTGACAAGAGCAAAGTGTTGCCCATCACTGGAGATGCCCAAGCAAAGATGCGGTAGACAAAATTTAACAGTGATATGGATAGTTGATATAAGTGCCTGAGAACTGAGATTCCATGGTTTTTCTAGAAAAGTACAAACTAATATATTTCTTCAGTCCTTTATGATTTTACAAAGGGTGTTCTGGAGGAAAATTCTCTACCTTTCTCATAAGAAGGTTGTGCTTACACCTAATAATTGGATTGCTTTATACTTTACAAGTGGCTTTCATATAATCCTTGCAGAGATTATTTGAATAGGTAGACCAAGTATTATTATTTCCATTTTACATGACAGAAGACAGGTGTTATATAGATTAACTCATTTGTCCAATGTCACACATGTAGTAATTGATGTAAATAGAACTTGAGCCCAGGTCTCTGTGGCTGCTTCTTCAGAGCTGTCTACTGCACCATGCCACTTCTGTTATGACTGAGATGAGAGAGGAAAAGTCAGAACCTCCTTCTTAAATACTAACACAGATCTTCTCTTACAGAAGGGCTCTGACAAGCCCTCTGTAATTTATAGTTAGCCTGAGTTTAAGAGGCATGATCAAGAGCAGTGGACAAAGAGAAACAAGATCCAGTTAAGAGCACAGGGCTCTGGTACCCTATGTTGCTATTTGCCTCACAGAATCTGACTGTTTTTCCTGGGAAGGAATTATAATGATGCTTTTATGTTCACGGCCAGGAAATGTTTATAAATCATAATGTACCATTTGCAAGTGATGTTACCTTATGAATATTAAAAGATTAGGAAATGACATTGGCTTTTGTTGAAAACCTTGAGTGACCCTGTAAGGAGACACAATAAATGATTGCTTTTATTGCAGTGCCCTCTAAATATTATTAAAACTCTTTATAGTAGGCAATAAATAATGGCAAACGAATGCTTGATTTATAGCAATTACAGTACAGATGAGTTGGATTCATGTGCTGCACTGTAATGAAGATAATAGCTCAAAACACACGAGAAACAGTCACTCAGTGAAATATGAACTGATTTGCATGATCCATGTCCCTTGAGTAACCTGTAATTGGCTATTATGAAATGGACTAAGAATGATTTGGTCTGCAAATAAGAGAAGTGGTACCAAATTACCATATAATCTGTGTGGATATCTTTTATTTTCAACACCAAACTATTTTTGTGGCTCATCGGATCTGTACTCTTACATCTAACACGTGTGAGTGTTCAACAGCTGAGGACCATTCTTCTCTGATTCCTCTGAAAATGTTTGACAATTACTTATCACTTCAACTTTATTCATAGGAAACATACAAACTTGCTTTATTTTAGCTTCCTGAGGTACCACATTCTTTCCTCATATCCCTTTTAAGAAGAGATTTTGGGAGTGAGGCTGAAATAGCATCATGGAATTCTTAAACACAGGGATTCAGAGCACACATGTGACTTATTTTATTCAGCAAAGCACATTTAGTTAACTCATGTTAATATTTTAGATCTCAGGAAATTTCTAACAATACTTGACTTTCCCAGTTTTGGGGGGTTTTTTTTGTTTTTTTTGTAATATTTGCCTAAGTCTCCCTTTGACTCCTCCCAATAGAAAACCTCACCAAAACAATAATCCGCATGAAACTTTTTTTTTTTTCGTAGAATAAGCTGCCATTTTTGAAAGGCACTGAAGGGAGCTGTGCCAAAACAGTATTTCATGCCTAGACCGTCTGTCATGCTCCTGAAATCTCATTCTCATTATCACACAAATAACCCAAGGGATAGAGCTAGTCCCACTGGCAAGGGGGATCATCAACGTTTATCCTAAGCTGCTGTTACAGTGGCCATAATGGGAAAAGGTATACCATAATTAAGAGCTATAGCCAACTAATTAAGTCAAATTACATCTAATTATAAATCCAATAATCTATGCCAAAACTAGTTGTTGATAGCTAAGGGAAAAATATACAGTTTTAATTAACCTTCATTATGGATTGGTATTTAAAGGCATTTTTTTTAACTCAAAAATATGTTTTTTTTACAAAATAATTGCTATGGTTCTCTTCTATCTAATACTTTGATTTAGGAATGGAACAACTAAAAAAATAGAAAGTCATTTTAGCAAAGAAAAATTGGCCTTTAAAATTTATAAATTATGTTAATTATTAAATATTCCTAGAAAATTTGAAAGAAAATTATAAGATAATACTGGTGCTGGATAATTATTTAATGCACTATAATAAAATCTCCCTAAAACAGATTAAGAAGGCTATATAAAAATTGGAAATGGCCAACAGTGGACTTATTAAATAATAAGATGGAAAATAAGGTGCACATAATGAGAAAAATTGAAGCTATGTAGTCTCCACATTAAGTTAACTAGGGACAAATTAATAACTGTCTTCAAATAAATGAAAAGTAGAAATAAGGAAATAAGAAAACTGCTGACAAGCAGTTTTGATTATTCATCCTGCATCTGAACAAAAGTACATTAAAAACATTAGTTTAACATAAAGAACTTACTAATCATAAAGATGGTTAGTGTTACATAATCTGCAGAAAGCTATGGAGCTTTTATCTCTGGATATCTTTAAAAATAATGTGTGTGTATATATACATATACATGTATGTGCACACATAAATATAAATAATAGCCCTAAATGTCTCTCCCTTCTAGTGTTGCTTGATAATTGAAAGAAAAAAATCTATAGAAATTTTTAACTTTAAATTTAAAATAATTTCAAGAAAATAAAAATTTCTCTTTGGCTTATGGTGTATTCATTTAGAGATAAATCCATTTTGAAATACAAGTGCATGAGCCTACCTTCTTCTAGGTAAAAAACGTGATAGACTACATGACCACAGAAATCCAAAAGAATGTGAGCTTTCTCTAAAGTTTGTGCTTCACTGCTCCCAGGATATGACAAGGCTATTATCCTGGGACCTAGGATTTTGCAACTGAGTTGTTGGAGCAACTGATGTCTGAGCATAATGATGCATTCCTGCATTTATTAAATAAATATTTATTGGTCATCTACTTCATGTCAGCCATTACGCTAGACAGATGTATAGAATACAAAGTTGAAAAAGCTTTAGCTCTTGTCCTCAAGAAACTGATGAAATAGAAAAAGAGATAAGTAATATAAATTACTAAAATAAAAAGAAAATACAGCTATCATGACAG